GAGAGAGAGAGAGAGAGAGACATATGTGTGTGTGTGTGTGTGTGTGTGTCAGGTTACTGCCCTGCTCGGTTTGAGGACATTGAGTGGGCCAAGCTGGACGACCACATTCTCAAGGAATGGCTCCTTCACTTCGGAAGAAGCGTACACCCTCCCTCCCCCCCCAACACACACACACACGGCATGTGTGTGTGGATGTTCAGACGTCCGCGATGAGCCGCAGTGCGATGATCGGCTGGCTGGAGGGCCTCGCCGCCTACGTATTAGACAGCACAAGGCCCGAGGACTGCACGAGGGACCCAAACCGGACAAGCGCTGCCGCTGCCAATGGTACGTCAGCTGTGCCCGTGGACAATGGGATCTCTCGCCCCTCATGTGTTGTGTGTGTAGGTGGTGGTGGTGGTGGTGGTGGCGGCAGGAAGGGCCACAACAAGAAAAAGGAGACTGAGGAGGAGTTGTTCAAGCGGATGAGGGAGGCCATCCAGAGCAACAAGGACCTCTACGAGAAGGTGCGGTCCGCTCCGTCGCACAACACACGATTGCCTTGCCACCCATCTGTGTGTGTGTGTGTGTGTGTGTCGGGAGCAGCTGCTGGTGGGCGAGGTGGTTGAGCTGACGGACATACACAATTTCCTCACACAAGGTGGGTGGGTCTGTGGGCAGGCAGACACCTCTCCCTCTCTATATATACCTCTCTGTGTGTGTGTGGCAGAGTGCGGCGTCAAGGTCGATCTGCTCAAGGTCCGCAAATTCCTCGACGGCGAGGGCGCCATGGTACATTTCGACCACACACTCACACACCCCTCCCTCCCCGATAGAGACCCATCTGCTGTCGGTCTGTCTGTCTGTCTGTGCAGGTTGCCCAGAAGTGGTCGCAGAGGGATGACGGCCACGGCCATAGGCGGCAGTGGTGGGGGTGAGGGGTCGACCATGTGATTGTGGGTGGGGGTAGATTGACACATGCTCATGAACCAGACCTAGCTAGAGGATTAGTGTGTTCCCGTCTATGTGTGTGCGTCATGCCATAAGTGTGGTGAATGAATGATGGAAACCCTGACTGAAGGAATCCAGGACAAACCGACGTTGTTTACGACCAACTACAACTGCAACCGAGAGAGACACTCAATGCGATAGACGCGAGAAGAGAAGAAGGTCCACACACACACGTGCTGTGCTCATGCGATTGCAAAATTGAATGAGTGCGTCCCGTCCATCAGTCTCTTTAATTGGCCTATATGGTCCTCCATCCATCTAAACGCAATCACACTCATCTCATGCACCTACAGTCAGTAAGGTAAGAAAAAAACACACTCATCGGCTTTGGCAAAAGAAGAAAAAGTTATCCATTCCACTTCGTGAATGAATGCTCTCAGCCCATTCATTCAACCCATCACAGTCAGCCCCCCTTCAGCATACACACACACACACACACATCTGTCCCTCACCCCACCACCGTCCCTCTGTTGATAACGTCATTCTCGAGGCTGAAGTTCCGCAGCACGGCACGCCAGCAGGGCATCGATGTGGGGAAGCGGACGTCGAACGATTGAGGCCGATCGCCAACAGACCGCTCGGTCGTCCACAGAGTGATGTCGTTGGCGTCGCCGGCTGTCACCTGCAGATAGGCAGCGACGGTCTCGTTGGGCTGGAAGCCGCTCACAATAACAAAACGATGGTCGTCAGGGTTGGCATGATTCAGGTTGCCCGCGTCGTCGTCCCGGGAGTCCACAGCGACGCCCTGCTGCTCGGTGATGGCCTCAGTCAGCAGACGGCGATAGCGGGGATCATTGTGGTTGATGGGAGCCTGCAGCACCAGCCTCTCGCCCACCCCCTCCTCCTGGCACCACGACACGAGCAGCGTGTCTAGGAGAAACGATGAGGAGGAGGGGTAGAGACAGTTTCCCTGTCGGATGACGGGATCGGTCGTCTGGTAGCCGGTAGCGTAGTCATTGCCGTGAGGCAGGTCACTCAGCTGCACCACACCGAACGACACGTTGCCGATCCGATAAGCACCGTTGCCGGCTTGCTGCAGCGCCAGGCTCTGTCCCTGGGAGGTGAGCATGTGGCCGAATAGGCGGTAGATGGCCATGGCTAAGGGCAGCTGATGGAAGGCCGTCTTGTTGGGGAGGTTGGCCATCAGCCACTGAGCCGACAGCACCAGCGGCAGCCCAGTGGCCGGCGTCATTCGATAGATGGCGGCGAGGCGGATGAAGACCACACCGACCCGACGCCACTCCTGGCTGCTGCCCTGCTCCAGCACATAGGCCACTCGCAGCACATACGTCAATGAGAGGGGGGCCGTGCGGTCGATGTCGATGAGGCCGGTAAGTATGAGGCGGGCGAGGGACGCGTCGATGCGCTCCACCAGCACACCAGCCGTCACCAGAGCCGACTTCGCCCGGCAGGTGGCTCGCACACAGACGAGCTCATGGACGAGGAGGGAGGGGAGAATGCGCCTGCGCCACACCTCATCGGGCGCCGAATCAGACATCGCCACTCATCAATCAGCACATGGCACCGCCTCTCACTGACTCGAGGAAGATCTGCGAGCTAAGACACGATGCAAGGATCGCTGCCGGCGGCCTTTCCATTTCCCGTGGCCCGTGCAACATCTTGGAAGGCCGTGGTTCATCTTCATTAGAGATATCGTGAAGTGATCCATTTGAAACCATGAGTCAGCAGCGGAAGACGGCCCGTCTCGTCGTCTCTCTTCTCGCAGCCCTCTCCCTCGCCAATGCCTTCGTCCGGCCCGCTGGGCCTCCGCTGCTGACCCGAATGAGGCCACTCAGCCACACAGCCCGCCGCTGCTGGTTCGATAGTGGCCTGAGGGAGGAGGTGAAGCGGCTGACGAAGCAAGTCGGTGAGCTCCATGACACCAACTTGACGAAGGACGAAGTGGAGGAGCTGCGTGGGATGAAGGAGAGACTGGATGAGGGGCACGAGCTGAGGGAGACCGTTTTGAACGCGACGGTGGGGCGCATGCGAAAGTATTGCGATACGAGTGACGAAGAGATGACGAGGCTGGCGGACAGGCTGAACGAGGCACAGGAGCTGAGGGAGACCATTTTGAACACGGTGGTGGGGCGCAATCGAAAGTATATCGATACAGGGAGCGTGAGATGACGGCGCTGGCGGACAGGCTGAATGAGTTGTGTGACGACCTGAGCGATACCGAAGACAACCTGAGTACGCTTGTAGAAACGCTCGTGAAGAAGGGAGTCATTGAGAGCGACGACCTACCTTATTCGCTCTCAAGAATGCTTGAGAGCGATGACGAATAAGACGACATTCGTGAGAAGCACAAGAATGTTTGAGGGCGTAGACGGATACAACAGATGCAGACAAAGGGAGGAGGGCAGGCAGCCACTGCGGCAGGCTGTTGTGTGTTCGGCTGATGTTGAGCTGTATCCTAGCTGGTCTCTGGCAGTGGGTGGGTCGGTATGTGCATTGGTGAGCAGGATGGTTGAGAGACAGACAGACAGACAGGCACATTCATCGCATAGACAGGCAAATGGTACATGGCCGCTTCAAGATCACTACCAATATAAGCAACAAAGCTTGCGCATCCAATCACGTACGGACAAAGACACAGAGACACACATACACACCCGCAAGAGCCAATCAATCTGTATGTGCTGCTCTTCTCGCCAATTAGTTCACGCCTCACTGACCCACCGCCATTGGGCAGGGCGCATCTGGGCAGTCGGCCTCGATCTGCAGGGTACGGCCCCTGGCAGGACGGCGGGTTGTAACATATCCCATCAATCAATCTGCAGGCAGGATAACAGGCAAGTGACACAGAGGAAGCAAACATGCTTTCTTTGTTTCTCCTGTGTGTCTGTGTGGTTCTCACTTGGCGGCTTCTGACATTTCAGTGAAGAGCTTGCGGCAGGCCAACTGCAACAGTGTGGACAGCGACGTGGATGGGGGCATGTCATGAGAGCTGTGTGGTGTGAAGGGTGAAGTCAGCCATTTGGACATGAGTATGAATTTGAATCGACAACACTCACGCACACGAACATGGCGGCCATGCCATGCATTCGTGGAACATCCTCTACGTATGTGCCTCTCGCAGACGGCAATGAATGGGGCCAGGTCGGTCAGCGCTGCGCTGCGCTATCTACCCTCCACCCTCCACTTCATCTTCGTGTTGTCCTTCCTCCATATGCACCGCACCTGACACGTCAGTCAGTCCATGCATCCACAACCCTCACAATGGACCCATGCGTGTGTGTTCCGCCCATCTCACCCTTCTCCATTATCCGCTGCTCATGCTGCTGCTACTGGCCATCGCCCGACTCATCATCCCACTCGCCATCCACATCTGCACACACACACAGAAGGCATGCACACACCCAAGTGAGACCAAACAAGACCGGCTGGACGCAACACACACACATCTTTTGACTGTGGGCGTTGACCTGCTTCTTGTGTCGACAGTACAGAGACAGCGATATAGAAGAGAGAGGCCTCTTCAGAAGTGGGCAGGCTCTTCTCGTTGACTTGTGTCTGTATGTCTATCAGGCACTATGACGTCGGTCCGCGCGGCCTTTTCTCTCTTCCGGTTGGCCCCGCCTGCACACAGATAAACACGTGCAGTCCACTGCTGCCCGTCGGTGCTGTAGCGTAGCTCACGGGACAGCCAGCAGCTCGATGAGCACTCCGACACACTGAAATGAAGCCGATCGAAGGACACGAAGTCAGGCTGTCTGTAGGTGGCAGACTGCCCGCAGCACCCCCTCCCTTTTGACGGGTCCTCTCCCCTCTCGTCACCGCCAGGGGTCGGCCCCTTCTCCGGCTCGTGCTACTGCTGCTGCTGCTGCTGCTGCTGGCCTGCATTGCGACGCCTGGTCGACGCAGCAGCGCCATCGTCATGCAGAAGATCGCTGCTGTGCAGGAGCGTGTTCCGTTTGATGATGAAGGGGCGGAGGACGCGACGGTGAAACACTACAGCACGCGGCACCCGGTGTTGCGCGAAGGCCTACAAAGACAGACAGACATACAGACACACGGAGATAGCGAGGCAGAGCAGTTGGTGCTTGGTTGCCCACCCAATGAGCTGATTCATTTCCGCACGATCCTCCTCCCGGCGCCGTTCTATACACTCCATTGCACATCTCGGCTACCTCCTCCCCCTCCCTCTTCTCCCACTCCTCTGAGCCTTCCTCTTAGGGATCTAAGGACAGGACCCAAGCAAGAAACACGCGTGAGTTATTCATGTGTGTGCTCTCTGCTGGGCGTTGCTGCGCCGAGTTTCCCATGCTGCTCTGAATTAACACCATCACAGCCGCGAAGAACAGTCAGGGCCTTCTTTGCAAGCTCAGCGTTGCAAGAGATCTCCGATCGCGCAACGAAGGCAGCTGACTGGGCAGCCCTGCACGATGGATCTTGAAAGCTGCAGAAGAAGACGTCAGCGCCGCAGCGTCATTGCGTGAAGTGGGCATGTGAGAGGAGATCCGCATTTTGCTGCGTGTGGACTCCTTCCTGTTTGTGGCCACAGGCAATTTCTCAAGTCGGTGACCGATCTCTCGGACGCACGCCGCGCCATTTGCCCGATGAGCCACAAGGTTTCGGAGAAGTTCGCAGCGGAGCTGCTCGGCACGTATGGTAAGCCAGAGCAGCCGGATGAGTGCTTGAATGCCTGGTGGCTGATCCGCATGGCAGGTTTGATGCTCACCATAGGTAGGGAGGAAGAGGCATTAAGACCGACTGCAGCTCCAGCTCTCCTTCGTGGGCGACTGGCTGGTCAACTGTCTGTCCACAGGGCTGAACGCCGTTCAGGGGAATCCATCGGGGCCTATCGCTGTCGGTCAGGAAGGGGAGCGTACACCCATCACTCAGCTAGCCGAAGGGTCTGCTGTTTTGTGGCCGTGGTGTATGTGTGTGCGCAGGGGCCATACTTGTGAACATGTAGAACACTGCTTCAGATGAACGGACACTGCACATAGAACACACACAGGTCACAGGTTCAGAAGCGTTTATTGCTCCCTTTTTTTGTTTTTTCTCCTCACCGCAAGGATATACATGTTTGGATCAGTGTCGAGTACGCTTAGCAAACAAGCAACACACGCTGCCATCGATATCGCCCCTTTTCTGTTTGTGTCAGGGGCGCAGTTCAATCCCTCGGTGACGCTGGCGTTCCTGACGCTGAGCCGAAAACTCATCACCGCCCACGAGGCTCTGTTGATATGGCTGGCAGAGTTCCTCGGCGCATCCCTCGCCGCCGTCACCTTCTACCTCCTCACACCCAAGCCCGGCTCGGTGCCGCTGTTTGAGTTCAATGGCGCGTCCGCATGCTTCGAGGTTATTTGGACGGCGATCCTCGTGCTGGTCATTCTCAACATCAACACGTGCCAGGCCGACTCGAAGCTCAGCGGCGGCTTCTTCAATGGTGGTGCGATCGCCCTCACAGTCGTGGCAGCTGCGTACTCAGCAGGTCAGTGAGGGAATGAGTGCATCGATTCCTTGTTCCTGCCTCATGGATGTGCTGGTGGTGTGGCGCGTGCAGGCTCGATCGCGCCGGCGTATCTGAACCCCTGTGTGACATTCGGCATCGCTGTGGCCCACCTGATCGGCACCGGGGGCACCGACTCGACCGCCACGCGGCTGTTCGGCTTCATGGCCGTCCAATTCGCGGCTTCGATCCTGGCGGTGGTCATCTTCTCGTTCACCAATGGTGCTCGCGAGCTGAGGGCGAAGCCGCCCCAGGCTGAGAAGCAAGACAAAGAGGTCTATCATGCTGAAAAGGAGAGGGTTGGCGGCCCTCACAAGGTTTTCTGCCTTCATCCTTGTGAACCGCCCTCTGCGGCTGAGCCGTGTGAGGGCCCGTGCTGCCCTTACCCCTGCTTCAGTGGCGTGCGTGTGCACATGCCCATGGGCGTGGGCGTTTTTGCTGCAAAGGACGACAGCACCAAGGCGCTAATGACGGTGTGAGGGAGGAAAGGTGTGACTTGAGACGAACACCGTTTTCTTGTTAGGGAGAGGGGGGCTGTGACTGATGTGGTGTCTGCTTGGCGATTGATTGGTCGTGTGTGCCTATGTGTGTTTGTGGTCTTTTATTCATTCATGTGGTTGTGGGACATTCACTGATCGAGTGGATGACAGACGGGATGGATCCACACACTCTCTCTACTGTGGGAGAGGGGGAGGGGGGGGGGGCCTTCTTCTGCT